CTGTCACCACTATACAGAAGAAAATCCAAGTGCGGAGGGTAAAATTAAAAAAATAAACAACTATTCGGCACGGATCTACTTTCATATCTGAATGTCATTTTAACGCCGCATTCCTCCTGTGTATATAAGCGGACTTCAAATGTCTCTTCCAAAATATTTTCGTTTCTCAAGACTTTTGCCTTTACCGCTAAACTCTTGGTCAATCACTACTTAATACCTGCTGAAATACAATAGAATCATTTTTATTCAATACTAGCGATCCGCTCCGGCCCTGCTCGGGTGATTTCTGGATCTCGACAACAGCGCCACCTACCGGATTCAATTGTGAATCGTTTGGATCATCCAGGGACCCACTCAAACACACAAAAAAAAATTTATTAAAATAGGTCCAGCCATTTTCGAGTTTTTGCGAGACTAACTAAGCACTATTGTTACGGCCCTCAGTTGCCCCGACAGAAGTCGACTGGACTAGGGCCCATGAGTAGCCCACCCGACGAGCAACCAGAGGGTTCGGGCCCAGATGGTCTATGGATAATTATTATGTAATGGCTGATAAGTAAACACAAACTTACCGAGTTCCGGAGGTAGGGTCGACCACAAGGTACAATCAGGGGTTAAGTTGGTGGTATGTAAGTGGTGTACGAAAGTGTGTAAATGTAACTTGACGTCACCGATGTAATCGGACAGCAGACCCACATGCGCTTCTCTGCTCCCAAAGATGTGCGATCACTTGGTAGGGCGTTAACCTTTATGTAAACTCAAGTCTAACGTCACTTAGCACAAAAATATAATCGAAGACGAACGGATTTCCTCTCGGGTCACAAATTTTTAACGTTCTACCGACAAATTAAAAATGTCTTCGTACGATATTAAAATGCCACACAAGCAACTCGTCGACGTAAAGTAATGGCAATCGAAGTTAAGTTAATCACTCAAACTCAAGAAGAGCCTCGTTGTCACGTAAACGCACGAAAAAGACAACGCAATAAGAGGCGATCGTCACGCTACCTAACTATTCGAGCGTAATTTGCAGACTGGTCAGTACACGGCCGCGGCGGGCAAACCACTGCCTGCCAGCCCACGCCGTCAAATACTGTTGCTAGCCCACACGTCAGGCAACCGAGCCGACCGTTATGAATGCAAGTTTTAAATATTAAGATTTGGCCTAATCAAACCCCCGTCCCGGGCATAAGGACTTATATCCGCGAGTAAATTGACAAACGGGATAGGGTCGCGACGGCACGTTGCAAGACCGAATCTCCAACCAAAACCTCGGCCACCCTAGGTACCCCATCCGATCCATACAACAACTTAACAATGCGCCCACGGCGCCAATACAAAGGCAAAGCGTTTGGTTCTTTAACTAACACGAGGTCTCCAACCCGAGGAGGATCCGTCTTGTCAGACCTCTTAACGCGCTGCTGCAAAAGATGTAGGTACTCCAGAGACCATCGGTGCCAAAAACTCTGAGCCATCTGTTGCAGCAGGTCAAATCTACTCAATCGCGAAAAGTTTATTCCATTTAAGGGGTACTCGGGCAGGGCGTTAAGCGGCTGGCCAATCAGGAAGTGGCCCGGGGTTAGAACCTAAAAATCATTCGGATCAGACGAGAGGGGACAGAGGGGCCGAGAGTTGAGTACCGCCTCAATTTTACAGAATACATTGGCAAGCTCCTCAAATGTCAAAATAGTTTCGCCAATAACGCGACGGAGATGCGTTTTTACAACCTTAACCACCGCCTCAAAAATACCGCCCCAGTGTGGGCAAGCCGGAGGGTCGAATTTCCACTGAACGCCTTTCTTAGACGTCGCAGTACCTAAATAAGTCCTGTTGGTGGATAGAAATTCGACGACCTCTTTCAAATATCTATCCGTGCCCTTATAATTCGTTCCGCAATCAGACCGGATCAGGTCCGGCAAACCGGGACGCGATACGAGGCGGCCCAGCGTGGCTACAAAGAATTCAGTGCTAAGGGCACTTACAAGTTCTAAGTGAACGACCTTAGTGGCGAGGCATACGAAAACGCACAGATAGGCTTAAGGCCTGAACGCGCGTTACGAAGATTGGAGGACTTGACGAGGAAGGGGCCAGCAAAGTCTGTTCCGACTCCAGCGAATGGTCGGATGGCCCTGACGCGGTCGGGTGGTAAGTCACCCATCATAGGCTGCGATATGGTGGCCTACAGTTTATAACAAGGTATGCACTTAAAGAGGACGCTCCGAATGGTGCGTCGGCCAGCCAAAATCCAAAACTCCAGCTGCAAAATAGCCGAAAGAGCGTTACACCCAGCGTGGGCATTCTTAACTTGAGCATGGACTATCGGAACTTTTTTCCAATACCGGTTTTGTTTCGATATTAAATTTTTTAATACCGATATTCCGGTATTTCGATATTTTTCCGATATTATGGCTAAAAAAAAGAGATCAAATTTGTTTAAATTAAACGTTGTTAGAGTCCAAATTAGAAATAAGACACTAATAAAAAGTAAATCAACGACTTTTATTATTGCAATCTTATACAAAGTGACGATGAAGTTATCACGTTAAATGAAAAGACGTATTCTATACAAAGTTCTTTAAACATACACAACTAAAAAAATATATAACAATTAACATTCTGGGCGCGGTAGCCTTTTTTTTTGTTTTAATATTAAACAACATCATGTAAATGCATCAGATATCACCTGATAAATACTAGAAATTCAAAGACCCATGGCCCGTGAAGGCCAAGAGACCTATATTGTATTATAGTGCAACGTTGCCAATTTTAAATAATCAAATAAAGTAATAAATTAAGCAAAAAATGTACTTATATGTAACAAAATAAGGCATAATTCTTATGCGCGATGCGACAAGAATTGGGACGGGGTGTTGAGAGGGTGGGATGTGGTCGATTGGCGCGTGCGACGATAAAGTAAGACAGTAAGTCACTTAGTCCGACGCCGGCGTCCTTGGGAACGGTTCATTAATCGCTTGACCTAATTTTAGTTTTTCGCGTACACGTCCTTTTAATTTAAAGTTTTTTTTGTGGATATTTTCATAAGTTTCTTGATTTGTTTGTGATAGGACACGTTAATACTATAATAATAATTGTGTTGAGGAGGTGGTGTGACTATTTGTGCGAAATTTGACGCTTTCTTTTACTGTCTTGTATTTTTTATTTGTGATAGGACTCGTTAATAATAGATAAGTGATATTTAATAACTTAGTGGTGTGTCAGCCCGTGCGCAATTGGACGCTTTTATTTTTTTAAACGTATAACTTTTTTTATTTTAAAATGCCTCGTATCAATTTTACGTCATTGGAATACACCGATATGGTTTTAATTTATGGAGAATGCCACCAAAACGCGTCCCTGGCATTACGAACATACCGAGAGAGGTATAATACCACACGTGTATGTCCTACAGACTCACGGATTTTTATACGGGCAGTCCAAAGATTACGTGACGGCGAAAATTTGATTCCACGTCAGGTTGAAATTCTTCCGCGAGTCGCCGTGGCTCAGGAAGAACGAATATTAAATTATTTCGCTCGTAATCCAACATCAAGTCTCCGTAGAGCAGCTCGCCAATTCTGTGTACACCACAAGTCTGTTCACAGAATATTAAAAAAAAAACAAGCAACGGCCGTTCAAATACGTAAAGGTACAGGCTTTATTAGATAGAGATAAGCCAGTTAGGGAAGCCTACTGTGAATGGCTCCTGAGCAAAGTAGCTAATGACTCTAACTTTTTAGCAAACGTAATGTGGACTGACGAGAGCACATTCACGCGTAACGGAATATGGAATCGGCAGAACTTACGATACTGGAGTCAAGAAAATCCGCAACTGTGTCGAGAGTCTATGCACCAATATAGATTTGCCGTTAATGTTTGGGCTGGAATACACGGAGATCAAATAATTGGTCCCGTGTTTATCGAAGGCAACCTTAATGGGCCTAAATTTTTGGAACTGCTTGACGACACAGTGGCGGATTACGTTGATGGACTATTGTTGGGGGCCAATAGCCGGTTATGGTACCAGCTTGATGGAGCACCTGCTCATTCAGTGGTGGCTGCCAGGCAGCGCCTCACTGAGATGTTCGGAGAGAACTGGATTGGCAGATACGGATCTTCTCGGTGGCCAGCACGGTCTCCGGATCTAACACCGTTAGATTTCTTTTTATGGGGTTACATAAAAAATGAGGTGTACTCTACTGAAGTAACGACTGTCGAGGACTTAAAAATAAGAATAATGCGGGCTTTCGACAAAATAAAAAATTTTGCAGCCAATGGTGCCCTCTTTCGAAAAGTCCGAAATAATATCATGCGGCGATGTCAATTATGCATTCGGGTACACGGCGGACATTTTGAAAATTTAAAAATTTGATTTGTTTCATAAACTTGAGTGATTTCAAGGTTAAAGTGATTATTTGGATAAAAAAATACCATGAAATTTGTGATTTGTTGATAACATCGGATTAGCATCGCCCTACGCGTGCCTAATTACCTATGTATGGGCAAGTCCTAGGACCTAGGTATTATAATATAATTACCTATATCGATGTCGCATGAGCAATGAACCGCTGGCCGCGACGTTGCCGCTTCTACAAGTCATTTCAGGTCAGTTAAGTAATATTATCAAGGATGATTTATTTTATGTGATTTTTTACCCTATTTATTTTGTTTGAAAGATGCATTTTTTATTAGTTTTTATTATTGTTTATTTTATTATTTTAACAGACATATATCAACTTGTATTAACTGTTGTGCTATTTAACGTGATAACCTGGGCGCCACCCAGTATAATAATTAGAATTTAAAAAGTATGAGACACAAAAATAAACAATTTTTTAACATACTCTGCTATGTCATAAAATTAAAAAATCAACACAAGTTAAAATAAGTAATTGAGTAACATAATATATAAGTAAATATTACATTAAACGCAAATAACTGGATATTAAATTGGTGGGGTGACTATATAGTCATCTTACAACATATGGCTTCAAAAACGAAGCCTACGGCAATTCACGAGATCGCGATTGCTTAAATATGGAACGTAAGTAGCAGAGGGCATCCAAGGTATTGTCTTTGAGAGACGATCTTATTTTGTTGCACGTATATGCCGCAGACGAGAACGCTCTTTCAGACTCTACACTCGTGGGGGGTAGCGTCAGTAAATGTCTGTACGCCATGTCTAAATAGAACCCGCGGTTGCCACCATTTTCAAACAATGCCATTTCAATTTGAATTAACTTATGCTTATCATTTTCACCATAACCACCATCTCTGTTAGCTTCATCTTCTGTTTCATTTCTATTTCGCATATTTGTATTTTTCTCCTTCAATGATTTATTAAGTTCTTTAGCAAAATCAACGCTTTCTAAATCTCCACTCACGCTGCTGGCGCTATTATCCAAGGCCAAATCATCCATAACTCTAACCACAGGTTCATCTTCAAAATTTTGAGTTAGTGAATAAATTTCCTCCACCATTTCTGGGGTTTTTGGGAACTCGGCGGTAGCAACTTCACTGAAATATGTTTCAGGATTTTGGAGATACTGCAAAGTAGATGCAATAAAAAGTCGTCTTTGGGAAATGCGCACGCGCAATGATCTTGCGAGAAGTCTTGACAGTGTAGAATTTTGACTATCTAATTTACGTAGCATAAATTTCATAGCCGCATCAGCAGTTAATAGAGTTGCATCACGCCGGCACAGTGCTTCGACTGTCACTTTGATAATATTCAGACTTTTCTGGAAATTGTCCAAAGTATGAAACTCGCTCTGTGTGAACTTGATATCAGAGTTCATGTCAATCAGTGGTTTGGATACACATGATCTTAACCTATTGAATCTATCCACCATAGTAGAGATGCTTCCCCAACGAATCTTACAATCGGCTAGTAGCTGGAGTTCTTTTCCCGTATCCTGTTTTACATGTTTCTGTAGAAACATGTCATTCTTCACTGGAGAATTTTTAAAAATTTTGACTACTGCACGTACTTTACTGATGACACTTTTATAGTCATTATTAAGCTCGTTTGGGTTTGAGTTTGACACCACCGGTATTACTTCAAAACCCCCGGTTTCGTCTTCAGCACTATCTGCGTCGTTCTCGAATTCGGAGTCACTTTCACTTCCACCAGCAGTAACAGCAATATCAGGGGATCGCACATTTTCCGCACCGCCTTGCTTGTATAATACGTCAAGTACAGCTAGCTGAATACCGTGTGCAAGGCAGACTTGATGATAAGCGCGCAGGTTTCTTCCAACTTTTAACATGACGCTGGCGCCATCAGTGACTATTGCGACTATATCTCTATCTAAAGAAAGCTCAAATTCTGAAAGCTTTTCTTTCAAAAGTCTGATACACGCCTCAGATGGCATTGAACCATCCATTCGCACCAAACCCAGATTTTTGAAACGTGAGCCATCTGTGAACTCAACTCCTATGTGAATGTTGATATTCATATATCTGGCGTTACGAGATGATGTCCACTCATCAAAACTCAAAGAAAACTTTTTACCAAGGGCTAATAGATTTTTCAGTTCAGTCACCAGTTTTTTCTTTTCCTGTTTACTATAGTTTATGACTATATTTTTTATACCTTTTGGAGTCTTCGGTAATTTATTGTAGCCAGAATTTGTAAACAGTCTTCGCAGATCCTCAGAGTTACAAAATACACTGAATGGTTTGCCGTCCAAAGCTGCCATTCTACTGACGGTTGTTTCAAGGGAGTGATTACTTTGAAAATAATCAGTCAATTTCCTTTTTTTTACCATCGATGAGGACGCTGAACAAGATTCGCCTTTTGATTTTGACACAGCGGTCGTAATGGTTGGAGAAGCAGATGTAGATGGTCGGTTTATGCTACTGTCATTAGTTTCTTCATTGTCAGACTTTGAATTAACGTTACTAATGTCTATTATATGCGACGATTTTAAATGAACGCGAATACCAGTTGTTGTGCCTCCGTGAGATAGTATTATTTTTTGGCATAAATTGCATTTGCCTGACTGACCATCTTCTGCTCGGAGAAAGTAGTGCCAAACTGAGGTTTTATCATCACACTTTTTTTCGAATTTTTCATACTTCATATTTTTACAAGTAAATTTGTTTGTTCAAAGAAGCTGAAAGCCTGTAACAAAACAATTTTGACTAAATAACTTTGACCAACTAAAGTTCAGATTTTGTACATTTGCGAACTCATTTTAAAATTAAAGCCTATAATAGTACATTGTAATACAAGGGGCTAAAATGACCCATTATAGACGAGGTAGTTTTACTACCGAGCTTTAGCGAGGTAGTAAATAGGAACCGAGTTAAATTCCTTTTTTTCCCAAGGGCATAATATGCAATTTTACGCCCGCTCTGGTACGCTATTATGACGGTTTTTTTCTTTTCGAGCAAGAGGAGTGAAAAATATATCATTACATATAAATTTATGTTTGAGATAATCTAACGGTTCATATCAAAAGTAATAATAAAAGAAACAATAACATTTTAATCAAAGTAGCCCGTTAAAATGTAATAAAAATCAGAAATGTAATGCTCGTCGTATTTGTATGTACACTTACCCACTTTGTTTGTCCGACGAGTGAATGAAGTAAAACAACGACGTCACAAAAACAACACAACTTTGGCAATGCACACGTGCGTGCTTTTTAACATAAAAATATGAACTGCGCTGAATGAGTGACACCGAGCGTCGAGCGCAACTATCTGGTCGAACCGGGCGCTGTAATTGGTCGAGCGAGGTGGAGCGAGCTACCCGACCCCTGAGCCACCCGCGCCCCGCCGCTCCCCGGCGACCAAAGTGTTGTATATGTCACCGTAAAATTGTCAAACACGTTATATTACAATATAACGTATTTGACAATTTTACGGTGACATATACACACTTTTATTCGGAAATAATCATTTAAAAATGACATATTTGTAATTGTAAGCCTGCTTACTGGCATAACATAGCACTCGGTTCTAATCAATTAAAAGATCTGTATTTCTGTACCTGTGTTAACAAATAAAAGTGATTTCATTGGATTTGATTTTGTCACTGGAACATACATAATTATTATTACCCGTTAGGTATGCTTTACATTAATTAAAATTAATGAAATAAGTAAAAAAGATTCTATTGCCTCTGGTTTTTTTTATATAAAATATCGAAAAACCGATATCAGTGAAATCCAATATCGGTTTTTCAATATCGGATTTTTGGTCCGATAATCCGGTTTTGCGATATTATCGAAAACCGGTATCCATGCTCTATTCTTAACATGATGGTGAGTTACCAGCAACAGAACAAAGGCGCCGTCCTTAGGGAGCAGTAACGGGTGTCGAGCCCCGTACGGCAGTTGAGAATTTTTCAAACGTCCGCCAACGCGCAGCATCCCAGCGTCGTCCAGGAAGAGGTTCAGACGGGCCAGAGCGCCCTTGACAACGGAGCCCCGCTTCAAGGTTTCAATCACGGGCTCAAAATGCTCCGCTTGGACCATACAGGTCCAATGCATCAAAACTTCGCGACGCTTGCTAGGGGATAAAACGGAATCAGAGAATCGGTTGGACGGGTCTCTCGAATTGCGGACAAATCGACCCAACCAAGCAGTCACTCTTAAGAGCTTATCGAGAGAGCTGTACCGTTCTAGCAGAGAGAAATCCCGAGTGGGCTTATCCTTGCCCACTCCTACTCGGGCTCGTAGGCCAGGCAATTCAATCGGTTCGGAGTATTTATTCTGGGGCCAGAATGACTGAGACTCAGTCAACCAACTGAGACCCCACCATAGCGGGTGGTCAACCAAAGAGGGGGCTTCACAGCCGCGAGAAGCGCAGTCTGCGGGATTCAACTACCCTGGGACATGTCTCCAGTTTAGAGACGTCTCAGAATTCTGGATTTGAGACACGCGGTTCGCCACAAAGACCTCAAGATTGTGAGGTGCAGCTCTGAGCCAACAAAGTACTATCTCACTGTCCGACCAAGCATAAACGTCCGTAATGTCGATTACAGACTTCAAAGACGAGTGAACGTGGTTGAGGAGTCGCGTGAGAAGAGCGGCTCCGGACAGTTCCAATTTAGGGATAGTTAAGCGGGACCTAATGGGAGCAACCTTGCTTTTAGCAAGTACGAGATGGACAGAAGTATGGCCAGAAGAGCTCACAATCCGCAAATATACGACAGCAGCATAGCCTTTCTCAGAGGCGTCGCAAAATCCATGTAGTGTAGCCCTGCATTTCCCTGGAGGGAGGAAGCACCTTGGCATGGAGACCCGGTTGATGTCCGGAAGGGAGGACACAATGGAGAGCCACTCTCGCAAGAGAGCACCGCTAATAGGCTCGTCCCAACTCAACCCGGATATCCAGAGCTTTTGAAGGAAGCACTTAGCCAAAAAAATGACCGGAGTGATCCATCGATTAGAATCGAAGGTGCGGGCTACTGTAGACAGCACGGAGCGCTTGGTCCATGCTTTAGGGGGGGATCGAGTTTGACTCGATACGTGAAAGTATCCTGAACAGGCTGATATTGAATGCCCAGCACAGTCAACAAATTAGGATTTTCAGGGTGCTCGAATAGATGAGGGTCTTGTTGATCCTCTCCTGGGAGATCCTTCAAAATATGAGAGGAGTTCGACAACCATTTGCGCAACTCATAACCTCCGGACTTCAGGATGGCAATCAGTTCGTCTCGCAATACAAGAGCCTCCTCGACGGTGGAGGCGCCCATGCAAATGTCGTCCATGTAGACCGAAGTCTCCAATATAGAAGCCCCCCGAGTGTATTTCAGACGCTCTCTCTTAGCGAGTTCAAGGAGGGTTCGCATGGCGATATACGGGCTGGACCGAAGTCCATAGGTGGTGGTGTTCAACTCATACACCTGCATCGGATCGCTGGGCTTCTCGCGCCAAAATCAGCTGATATCGATGGTCATCACGATGGATCACTGATTGTCGAAACATCATCCGAATGTCGGCTACAAAAACCACTTGGTACCGACGGAAGTGGGTCAAAATGTCGGATATGTCCTTGATCAATTTAGGACCAGACTGGAGACACTGGTTCAGGGACACACCATTTGACGAGGGGGCGGAGCCGTCAAAAACTACCCGAATCTTACTCCCAGGGGTCCTCAAGACCGCATGGTGAGGGAGGAAGTAGTGCTCCTCTGACCGCCAATCGAAGTTGGACGGTCACATGTGACCCAGCTCTTGATACTCGCGCATGACCTCGACATATTTGTCGCGAAAGGCTGGGTCGCGGCGGATACGGCGCTCCATGGAAAGTAACCTCTTTTCGGCCAGGGTACGAGATTGGCCCAAAGGGGGCCGTGAGTCAAGAAAGGGTAAGCGAGTGACAAAGCGACCGTCGACACGACGACCGGTATTGTTTTGGTAGAACAACTCGCACTCACGGTCCAGAGGGTTGACTCGAGCCGCGTGTGGTGGCTCCTCAATTTCCCAGAACCGCTGGACGACTTCGGAAAGGGACACGCCCACAACAGAGAGCGTGTCGGCCGTCTGAGGATGTGGAGACCACAGAACTGGTCCAAAGAAGCTGTGCCCAAATACAGTGGACATGGCTGACAAGCCATCGGGCTGTAGGGCTCGTATCTCGCCTAACAAGATGAACCCCAGCGCGTCGGCCCCCAGCAACAAATCTATAGGCCCAGGTTGGGACCACTGAGGGTCTGCCGGTCTCAAACCCGACGCACAACGAACCGCGCTGTCATTTATACGGACGTTAGGGAGAAAACCTATAATGTCATCGAGGACATTTACTTTAACTAGAACATGAAGTTGTTCACTGGCAGGACCAAACACCAACTCCGCTTGTCCCCTAGGAGCAGGAGGCTCGGCACCTCCGAGACCTACCATTGGACGTGATTCAGTGCTCCAGGGGAGTCCTAGTCTTCCCACCAACCAAGTGGAGGCCATACAGCGTTGTGAACTCGAATCCCATAGAACGCGAACCGTTATACAGTCGCCACTCGGGTTGTACACCTTCACTGAGGCCATCGGCAATAGAACAGTTTGACAAGTAGACTGTTGACGGCTCAAAGGATCAGTGGAGGCGGCCGTGGTGGGAGCTACGGCGGCAGCTATCTAGCTGGAGCTGCCTCCATCGGGGCAGCGCTCGAACCGAGTGTCCCGAGAGCGGCATTCCGGCGGCATCTCAATGACCCGTGGTTGGAAATCACCGAACGGGCCGACCTGGGGAGCTTCAGGGGACCTCGGCCTTGAGGCCCGGGACAGATTCGAGGTCGCAGGAACCCTGTAGTACCGGTACCGACCAAAGGGGGGAGGGTGGTACTCCAGTCGCGGCCACTCAGCTAACGGGGGTGAGAAGGGTCTAGCTGACCGCTGAGTGGCCGTGAAGTTCCTCTCAACACGCTGAGGGGGGCGACGACTCCCCCGCCCCTGGGGGAACGACCCCCCGACTGGTCGGGGGAGGGACTCCCTTCAAAACCAGGGGCACGGTGGGCGGCAGGCGAGCGCCGAGCATCGCCCGACAGAAGGCATGGCTGAGCGCCCCCGCCCGTGGGAGTTGAGGGCTCGGCAGAGCCCCGAGAGGAAGCGCCGTTCGCACCCAGGCACAAATCAGCATGGTTGATGCCCTGGCAGTGCGGACAGAGCCGCTGGTGCGGGCAGTATCGTTGGAGGTGCCTTTAGAAGTACGAGTAGCACCAGCGGCGCTTCTTGGCGGTGGTTCGCCTCGCCGGGACCGGCTTACCCAATAACTTCTGGCACGACGTCGCCCGGTGATTGGATGTTTGGCAATAGGAGCAGGGGGGCGCCTCCCTGGCCTCTAGGCCACTATTAGATGGTAGGGGGCGGCGCCCTCCCGCGGGAACTCCGCTCGGTCTTAGGGAGGTTGGCGACGACTCGCCCGGCGGATTCCGCCTCTACCTGGGCACGGCTTGGTGGGCAACCCGTAGGTCGTCGACGGTGCCCGCTGCGTTCTCAATTTGCCGGCACTGCTCCTCCAAGAACCGCAGCAGGTCCCTGAAGGGCGGAACATAGGAGGTGCCGTCCCCGCCGTACCTCTTCTCAAAATGGATCCGAAGATCGAGAGGTAGGCACAGCAGGTAGGACAGCACGATGTTGAGCAACAAGAAGGACCATTCGTCCACCGGTAAATCCAGCCGCCTCAACGAATTACAAGCCACCACGAATGGATTTATGATGTCGGGACGTAGTCTGGCCCAGTCCCTAAGCAGCGGGAGGTTTAGAAGCTGCCTAACGTATTCGTCCGCAATTCGCCGGACGTTGGCGAACCTTCCGGCGAAGAGGTCCTGAGCAGTCTGGTAGGCGTCGTCCGACAATCTCAAATGGCCGACGACGCCCAGGGCCTCCCCCTCTAGTGAGGCCAGGAGGTAGGCCATGTTCTGACTTGGTGTCAAGTCCCTTCGGGCGTCCACTAGGCTATCAAAAAGACCAACAAAGGTCAGCCAGTCGGAGAGGACCCCAGAGAACCTTGGCAGGTCCAGAGTTGGGAGTCGTCCCAACAGCTCCGGCTGAGTAGGCTGCTTCCGAGGAGACTTGGGCAGGTCCCTCAGTCGAGCTTCACGCGCTTCATTAGCATACTTGGCCCCCGCCTCGATCAAGTCGTCCGTGAGCGAAAAGACTTTCTCGTAGTCCGCGAGGCAGGAGTCTAGGACTCCCTGTTCCGCATCCGAGGCCACGAGCTCAGTGTAAGCCTCCTCCACTACGGCCCTTCGGGCCGCGACCTGCTCGAGCCGCTTCTCTAAACTATGGACCCGATCGGGTCGCCCTATCAAAGTATGGGCATTCGCGGCCCAGCGCAGCTCCACCTGCAGGCGAAGCGCCGGTGGCTTTTGCGATGGCATCAATACTAAATACAAATTACTATTAAATTCAATTAAATACAAATTACACTACACGGTAAGTACACACTACAGTCGGTCAGCAAAGATGCCTCGCTCAGGTGACAGACCCTTCGGCAATTAATATCTACTATAATTATACGATAACGATAATTATACGATTATATGATAACGATAATTAATCTACCTACCCGAAATACCTGACGCGTAGGTACCTAACCCTAAACTACACTCCTGCTTCCGCAGCCTAACCGGTGTGGTTCTAACCACTGATCCGTTAACAAAACAAAAAAAAAAAACAAAAAGAAAGTAAAAATTTTTTTTTATATTACGGCCGGGCGTAACCACGCTCTGCTACCAAAAATGATACGGCCCTCAGTTGCCCCGACAGAAGTCGACTGGACTAGGGCCCATGAGTAGCCCACCCGACGAGCAAATCTCTTGGTAGGGCGTTCACCTTTATGTAAACTCAAGTCTAACGTCACTTAGCACAAAAATATAATCGAAGACGAACGCGATCCCCTCTCGGGTCACAAATTTTTAGCGTTCTACCGACAAAGGAAAAATGTCTTCGTACGATATTAAAATGCCACACAAGCAACTCGTCGACGCAAATTAATGGCAATTGAATTTAAGTTAATCACTCAAACTCAAGAAGAGCCTCGTTGTCACGTAAATGCACGAAAAAGACAACGCAATAAAAGGCGTACGTCACGCTACCTAATTATTTGAGCGTAATTTGCCGACTGGTCAGTACACGGCCGCAGCGGGCAAACCACTGCCTGCCGGCCCACGCCGTCAAATACTGTTGCTAGCCCACAAGTCAGGCGACCGAGCCGAGCGTTTTGAATGCAAGTTTTAAATGTTAAGATTTGGCCTAAACAACTATATAGAGATTGATTACATATAATTCTTATTGAAAGTTATTTTTAACTTTTACCACTGGTTCGGAAAAAAACTTCTGTCCTGTGATGAACCAGCAAGAAACCCAGTGGGACTTTTTTAAAGCATAACTTACAATATAATATATAAACAAATGTTATGAACACATTAAGAAACAGCATGGTAGCGATCACCTCATTCCCAGGTGTTATTATCAATCATGTACTCTTTAGTAGTATAATGATTACTCTTACTAAACAATGTTTGCTTTTAACTATGACCTTTACTAAACATTTTTTGTTTAATAAATATTTTAAAACTTTTTATAGATAAGGTGTGCAAATTTTCTTACCTGATGGAGCCATGCTGCAGCTATATTAATTGTATATTTGTAGCACGAATGGGTCGGCTCGACCGGGGAAATATTAAAAGTCGAAAATATAGTTAATAATTGAATTAAGTAATAATGATGATTCAAGAAAATTTTCAGATTAGCAATGTTTAATTTATATTGCTTCTTTTATTTTTTTATACAGGATAAGGCTGAAATGAGCACAAGTTCACCTGATGAAAAGTGAATGCTATGGCCCATATTTCTATCCTCGATTAAGAATCAAAATGTAGATGCGTTGTCACTCCTGAGGACTACAGTGAAATGCCTGGTTTCCATCAAAAAGAATATCCGGTTCCCTTTTTTTTTTACAAAATTAGGGTGACAAACGGGCACAAAATCCCTCTGTGGTCATACATCATAATTACCATCATTACAGCCGTTCACAAGTCAACTGCTGAATACAGGCCTCCCCCCAAGGAATGCCACAAAGCACTCATTCATTAATTCGCGTAAATATAAGAAATCATTACGGTTTGACTGCTTAGCAGCAGGAATACGTTTGATTTTTTTTAAACTGAAAAGGCAACGAACGTACTGTTCACGTAATGATAAATGACTATATACTGTACTCTATGGATTCCTAGTAGCAACTTCAAAAAAACTAGGCTACAGATGCGTTGTCACGTTGGAAGACTAAGATGGAATGCCTCACAGCCTACAATCATTCTGGCTCTCCATACACAGCAGTGTGTGAGTAATTTTCTTTTCTTTTTTTTTCTTTTTTTTGATTGGCGGCAGAAATAGGTACTTACTAAGACGAGCCTCTAGGCAGAAAAGAAGTCCTGCAACTTAGATAAGTGTGTGGTAGCAACCTAGACGGAGTTCTAGGCAAAAGTGAGCCTTTTGTAAAACAACATGTTCATGTTTAATGCTCCTTGTTGCAGGATGGGGCGAATCATTTCTGTCACTGTCCAAGAAATGGCTCAGCACGCAGGTATACGGCACGGACGACGAGGACTTCCAGGTGAGGATTTTTTTTTAGAATAAGGGTGATAAACAAGAACACAGTCCATCTAATGGTAAATGGATGCTGTGGCCCATAGACATCTTTCCTCGATTAAGAATCAAAATGCAGATGCGTTGTCACCCCTGAGGACTTAGATGGAATGCCTCGATTCCTGTAAACGGGGCCTCTGGTATTCTACACTCACCATACGAAACACAGCAGCATTAAGGTGCTAGTTTACGCTGGTATTCTGTGAGAGCGTGGTCCTCCCCGGTCGGGCCGACCCATTCTTGCTGCAATCGTAATATAACTGCAACGTGGCTCTACCAGGTTTATTTATTTTAAAACACATCATAACCATCATTGATGGCTCGGTAGCGCAGTGACCAAGCATGTGTCTATAGCGCTCCTGAGGCGCGGATTCTAATCCAGCACGGAACAAATATTTGTATTAAATTCAAATAACTGTTTCGGGTTTTAAGGTTTATCCCTGTGCAACTTATGTACCTAGAGTACCTTCGCAATACAATCAATTTTTTTAAAGTGAATACTTCTTTAGAATCCTTGGGATTTAAAGCTTGATAAAATGAAAAAGCGACATTGAAAAGAGACAAACATGTACATCTATAGAATTTTTAGATTGCGAGAAAATGAGATAGAATACAGTATACAGTGTCTTCTATTAATTATTACGAGTATATACTTTAGTTGCCATGTGGCACTCGTGTCATTTGTTGAAATTGAAAATTTGGAGCCTGTATATAATATACGTAATATAATAGAAAAAAATGTAAAATATTTTTTTTTAACTTGGTAACCATATTATAATTAATAAACCCTACAGTTATCCCACTCCTGATAACCTACATTCGTCTAATTCTCTCGAAGTTTAGTTTTCTGAATGTTTCACTTCTACCGCGTGTGATATACGTGAGTGTCGTAAAGACTACAGAGGGAAATTAAACAGAATCCGGGCAGCGACATCTTCCTGATAACAAATCGAAATGAATATGTAACAAAGATGATAATATAATTCATCTTTGCGTGTACACTGCACCACTACACGCCTGCAACATGTGGTCGTGTACGCACGCACATGCACACACAGGCCTTATAAAACAGTTGAATCGTTCTCTAGGGACCTGAGAACATTGAGAAATATTTAAGTTCAGACTTCCAACAACTAGAAACATAGTGAAAACTTCAAAAAAAAGTGAAATTAAATTATTTAACATTTTGTCATGTTTATTTTTCTAGAATGTCCAATTGCCAAAGCTGCCGGTGCCCGAGCTTCAAGCTACCATGGACTCTTACCTAGAGTTCGCGTCAGTGATCGTCAGCCAACAACAGATGGAGAATACAAAAAAATTGGTGAAGGAATTTATGGAAGATCTTGGTCCAAAGCTTCAAGCCACCTTACTGGAGCGTCAGAAAGAGATGGATAACTGGGTTGGTTATTATTTAAATTATATTAAATTCACAACACCAAATGTTAAACAGGTGAATGAGTACCAGTATGCTTTTAAATAGGAAGGATATGAGTCTCGCTGAATGCACTGTTTTTCTCTGAATTACGGTGGATGCGAAGTTTCAGTGGGGCCGCCATATAACCAAACTAGCTTGCAAACTTAGTTCTGCTACATATGTTATAAAAAAATCTGATTATAAGACATGTGGCGAAACAGCTAGATTAGCTAATTCTAATTATTTCCACAGCATAATGTCATATGGAATCTTGCTATGGGGTAATGCGACTGACATTGAAGCAATCTTTGTTTTGTTTGCTTTAGGTCCGAAAGAGTCTCTTAGAGAAAAATGTAAAAAAATAAATATATGAACTTTGTAATCTCAGCATATTTACGAAAATTTAATGTATGTATACAAAAACTCTGTAAAAGTTAGGAACAAGCACAACCTAGTTATATACCAGTTACTAGACTCCAAAGAGTCAGTAATGCTTTAATTGGGGAATGTGAAAGACGCATTTACAACAAAGTCCTAGGAAATATGCAGGATCTTTCTATCAAGGAGGTAAACATTTTTACAACAAAATGTTTAGTAAGGCATAGTATACTACTGAAGAGTACAATTGTAACCACTGGAAAAGAGGTGAGCGGTGAATGGTTTCATACTTCATTGTTTCATTCAAAATATTATAATGTAAATAAATGTTTAAATAGAAAGTTCCGCTGGGTTTCTTGCTAGTCCTTCCTAGGAAAAAAAATAGGACAGAGGTTTATTCCTAACTACAGGTAAGGGTATGAATCATTTTCAATAATTATTTTAGTAATCTATATTGAATACAAATTATTCTATTCTTTACTTTTCTACAGATACTGAACACACATTGCGATTTACAAGTTTTTATATAATTAAGGGATTTAATTAAGTAAAAAATAAATTAAAGTATCATATTTTTCAACAACGAAATATCAAAAATGGTAAGTAATCTTTATATATAAAAATTACGTGTCACGTTGTTTGTCCGCGAAGAACTCCTAAACTATTGAACTGATTTCAATGACATTTTGCACACTCTGTGCAGTTTGGTCCAACTTGAGAGATAGTATATTTTTTATCCCGATAAGTAACTCTCAATTTGTTTATTCTTAATCTCAGGAGTTTTTTAGGAAAGCAAATGGTCGTCGGAAAGGGCAGAACAACGTCTGCATGGTCAGCTAGTCTTTATATATAAAAATTACGTGTCACATTGTTTGTCCGCGATGAACTCCTAAACTACTGAACTGATTTCAATGGAATTTCGCACACTGTGTGCAGTTTGGTCCAACTTGAGAGATAGGATAGTTTTTATCCTGATAAGTGACCCTCAATTATTTTATTGCTAATCTCAGGAGTTTTTTTTTAGGAAAGCAAATGGTCGTCGGAAAGGGCAGAAGAACGTCTGCCTGGCCAGCTAGTTGTAATATAAAATATATTCCTAAAGTATACAATAGACAACAGAATATTACCTAGTACTACGAGTTATTACATATTTTTTATCATTAAAAATTAAAAATCCTTTTTTAACTTTACGCCCCTTAGAAATTCTTAACCTTGAAGTAGAACTAATTACATTAGCGTATTGCTAATCTAATGGCATTAAATCCACCTTTATATATTATATATTTAACCATTTTTATCATTATATTATATCATTATATATTTAAACAATTACAATCTTTACATTTATAATCTTTATTTGTATCGCTAGTAGTAGAAAACCTACCGATTACACACCATACAGGCATAAGCGTTATCAAAATACTTACACACACTCTGTCAAATGCAAAATACATTTTTTTTAGTTTGTGCATATCTATGGTGAGTCCCTCACAAATGTTATAAGTTCTATTTCCTTCCTTTTATAATAAATACTTAATAATCGTACGACAAAGATCAATGTTCACGTATCAATTTACTAATATAATATGTGTGCCAATAAATGTTAAATAACTAATTCTTATTAAAAAAGAAATCCCTGTCTACGAAAAAGACAATAGTGAAAGAATCTAATTTTACATAAATGTTAGTTTCCATATATGACTCACGGGACAGTGAAATTGTTAATTAGAAAATTACATTTAATTTCGAATAACAGTTTAATATGTGATATCGAGTTCAAAGCAAAGTTGATAAATCATTTGTTATCGGAGCCTTGTAGTCACGTTTTCACTAGAAACGAAAACACAGTTGAAAAACAATAACATAACGTAGCAGCACTGTTTTCACTGTGCTATTGCTAACTGCGAAAATTTAAAGTCAACATGTTACCACAAAAAATAAACATAATTCTGCTCAAAAATGAGCCTCAAAATTGAAACGCTGTTAATGTTTCTATCAATATTATTTTTTGTTGGTGTGGAAAACAACTCGCGAGTGAATAGCAATAAATCGGGAATATTTGGAGACATAAGTGAGAGTGAAGTGCTAATGAAAATTTTGAAAACACTCGATAAAGCAACAGATAATAAACATGTTTTAAATGTAACACTAACCCTGGTAAAAAGCTTTTGTACGTGCATGAGTGATCTTTTAAACAAAAAGAAGCAGGGTATGTTAATTGAGAACACAAACTCACTACAAGAAAAAAACAATTCAAATCAATATTATTTCGACTTATATGAGAAAATATATAATAAAACCTGCATTAACTTAGAACAAGATATATACAACTTAATTTTACAGTGTGAAAGTAAAAAGCCAGAAAGTCAAACGAACGATAACCTAGACTATACTGTCACAAAATTGTCACATATTACCCAAAGGTCTATGCCAATGCAAAGAACTGCCGTTTTACAAGGCGGTGTAAGTTTGGATTTCATAAAACTAATCCACGATATATTAATAAAAACAAAGGATCAACATAAATATGAAATACAAAAATATAATTTGTTCGAGAATGCGCGAAAATTTGATGAAAATTCACTGAGATCGGTCATCATTATCATAACATTAAATTCTCAACGAAATTTTACTGAAACAGTTGCAGAATCTTCTTTAATTAGTGCTAACGAAATAGATGATATTCTTCATGGTAATGGAACTATTAACATCGACCTTATTGACTCAACTTATGTATCAAAAAATGTAAATGAAAAAATTTCAACCACTAAAAATGTATCCGAATGCACCTTGCAATCAGTATTTACATTTATAACTGAAAGTGGAGTCAAAACCTTCAAACTTTTAAGAAAAGCCAATGCAATAAAAATATACGTTAGTATTTTTACAAAATATAACCATGATTACTTCACTAAAATATGTTGCAGTGGTAAGGATAGTGCAATATGTAAAAGAAAATTTGATTTTAATTCTATAATCGATTCTCAGGAAGAATTGAGCAAGGATAAACTGCGTGCAAAAAGAGTAGAAAAATATAAAGAAACAGTATCTAAAATTAAAAACTTAATTAAGACGTATAGTAATAAATTAAGAGATAACAGTGAAAAGGTGGAAAGGGTAAAAATTAATGAAGAAAATAATTATTTAAATAATGACTATAACTCCGGCCGCACTAATTTGGTCAGTGTTACAACTAATTTCCTTTCTTCAAATAATACATATATTAATGAAAAGCAAATGAGTTTGAATGAATTACAAAATTATACTAGTTTTAATTTAAATACTCATTCCGTCCCAAGTCGGAAAGCATTTGATTTCTATTTGAAACATGAACAAAAGCCAAAACCATTAGGAGCTATAAAAACTGACGACGCAATAACAAATAATGAAGTATATGAAATTAACCAGAAGGAAGTAAAAGTAAGAAGTTTTACAAAAAGTAAACAAGCATTAAGCAAATCAAAATTTCTGCAAACACTCACAACAGAATTAGAGTTGAAACAAATGCCGTCCCAATCAGGTAGTAAGAAATACTTACAGGGAAACTTAAGGTCATATAAATCAAGAAATTCTCCTAGTGTAACAAACAGCAACAGTATTACATCATCAAATTTGGAAACTGTAACAGTAACATCTAACTACGAAAGAACTAGAGGTCAAAAAAATTTAGGTGAATCTTTTTTAATGGAACAGCATTCTAAAAACATTTTAGAGGTCACTAAGCCACACATAAAAAATACTAGCTTTGTAGCTATGGAAAATAATGTAATAAAAGAATACCATCGTGTAATTCCAACATCGCAAAATACAAGTAATCATTCAGTTTTAAGAAATACCTCACATGACATAAGAAATTATTTTACAGCTACGAGTAAAATAAGTAATATTTCTGTAACAGAAGCATCGAGAGATCAACAAATAACGATAAATGACACTATCATGCCTTCGAAAAATTTCACAAGTCAAACAAATAAAAAAAATTCACAGAGAGTTACCATTTCTCATATGTATACAAACTTGCATAAAATATCCGATAAATATTCACAACTACGTGATCTGTCTCTAAAATCAAAAGAAACTTCCAGTACACCTAAACCATTTTCTACGTCTTCATATGAATTTCATTTCAATTTGACCAACCTGAATGCAGCAACCTATTCGAATATTAAGAATACAGCCAAATTGCGTGAAATCAAAGACATGGAAACGACATCTATGCCATTATATGTTTCAACCAATTTTCCTTTATTACTGTTAACTCTTGTTCCTTGGAATATGACTACATTACATAATAAAATGGAAAACGTTTCAAATTCTGCATCGTTGCTTCCTCATAATGACAAAATCTTATCTAGCACTAAAAGAGATTCTAAGACTGATAACTTAGTAGATTTTATTTTAAATATAACTAAGGAAAGAAGAAGTTTAAATCAAACTGGGATAAGTTTAGAGACAATCAATGCTAAAGAAAAGAACGTCGCAAATAATAAAGACCAATCAGTTTTGGTAAGCGGTTTACTAGATAAGCATTATTTTAAAATGACAACTGACACTTTGAGAAGTTCAAAGTTTAAATTGTATGATAATGCCACGATCGCCAAATCAAA